AGAAAATTAACTCTATCCCAGCCGAAACCAGGACACGGGGAAAATGGTTACACGTGTGGGTCTGTGGGGGAAGAGCCATTAGCTGCCAGCAGCCATCTGGACCTGGTACATGCAGACTGATGGGTCTGACCTAGCAGTTCTGACAGTATCAGCCTTTTGGTTCTCTCTTTAATTCAGCAGTGATTTTTTAAGCCTTTTAGAGTACAGAAGTTAGGGAATTGGTTTTTTTTCTTTTCCTGTTGTTGTTTTCTAGACTTTATTTCATAATGAGTGGGATGTTTCCCCTTCTTTTTTTAACCCCACATGCTGGATCCTTGGAGAGGAACCAAGCTTACTCATTCTTTCTTCCAGACAAATAGAAACAAATATTTAGTTTTAAAAGAAACAGAAAGAAAAATCCCTTTAAAGCTCATGTATCTTTTCGATCCTGGGGCTGAACTGAACTGTTTATATGATTTCCTTAGCCTGAGTTGCAGAACGGACACGACTGAAAACATGCTTAGAACAGCTAGGGAAAAAAAAAGAACTCCAAAGGCCAGAAGACCTGGCTGCCTTCGAGCTTGTGTCATGCATGCCTAGGGCTAGGTTCTGCCAGGACCGTGCAATGCGGAGTGCTGAAGGGGAGATGCTGATATTTGCAGGCAAACGTGCCTCCTTCTGCACAACAGCCTGAGCACCACTGCTGCTCTTTCTCTGGTGGGATGCCACCGGTAGCGTGGGGTGCCTGGGGCTGGAGAGGGTGTCTGCCCCACATGACGCTTGCCTGGTGAAGGCAGCTGGCTTGGGCGTACGGGCTGCAAGTGCTGCAGGTCTTGTCATGCCAGGATGAGAGCGGAGCCCGACCTGCATCCTTGCAGGAGCCGTTTTGCAATGGCTGTGCCGTATTACACCAGCCTAAGACAGAGTTGGTTTGTGATGTTGGGAAATGGGAGGCATAATGTAATTTAGCAAGTGCAGACCCTGCCCCTACTCAGCTTTTCCCCTAAGCTCACGGTGGCTCTGATCCCTCTGTTTGCTCTCATTGGTAGGTACCTATTTGTTCACCTGCAAGCCCATGAAGCTCGGAAAGGACACAGTTACTGCTCTCAGCGAGGCTGTGAACGTATTAAAATCATGGCACATATGTACTCAGGGGACTCCTGGAGCTGTGACCCAAACCCCTTCCCGGAGAGGCCGGCAGCTGCCCAGCGCCCCGTGTCCCAGCACCCGGCTGGGCCATGCAGGGCGTGTGGGGCCCCGCAGGTACCCGCCGCATGAAACAGCATCTGAGGTGGTGCAGTGTGTGTGCGTCCACATGAGGTCAATTCGTTTTCACAGCGTATAAGGGAAAGCCGTAGGGAATTCTCACTCATGAATCCACCCAGCATCATGTAACCTGTGTAGAGGGAAGGGTTTTTCTCTGAATTTCTGCAGCTTTTTGTACTATGCTTCAAAGATAGCCTCAAAGAAATTGCCCAACTGGAAGCATGTGAATGCACATTCATGGCACCTTTTTTCCCAATTTCTTTCTTTTAAACAAGAAAAAAAGGACTCTTAGGAGGGCTCAGATTGGATTAGCTTTGAATTCCAAAGTATGACATTGCTGCTAAATTTCACACAGGGAAGTAATTCGGGTTAATATGATTAACTGGAAAATTAGACCCAGGTTCTCTTCTCATTTGCTGTAAATTCACCCCGCTCTAAATCCTGTAGAATTGTTGCATGTTCATACAAGTCTGCACTTGAGTTTATAGCCCCGCAAAATATATGAAATTCATATTCAACTTTTAAACTTGCTTAGTGGCAGAGCGACCATCAGAGGTCCCTTCCAACCAGCATTGCCATGATCCTTTGCTAAATGGTGTCTCAACAATGAGCACTTACTTGTGAACCAGGATCACAGTTTGAAAAAAGAATTCTTAAAATTTTGCAATCATATATATGAGCATTGGTACCTGGTGTCATTTTGTTGATGGAAACCAGTTGGCAAGCCAGTTTTATTTAAGTTTCTGTCTCTGGTGTAATTGCAGCTTGCTATCACTAGCACACCCTCAGTCAAGTATATAAGGATCCAGATCCAGTCTCTCAGCAGGGTGGACGTACAAAACCACTTGACATCTGCGTTCATTAAGGTATGTTGTCTTATATCATATTTGAAATGGTGAATAAACAGGGGAAACTTTATCTCCAAGGAAAGTTACTGCAAAATCTTGCTGAGCCTTGGTGGAAGGAAATGGAAAGTTCCCCTGGAAGAGGCAAGTGCATTGTTCTCTCCTACAATTAGCTCCATTAAAGTCACTGGGAGTTCGTATTCTATTCAGATGAGGATCTGAGCCCTTAGGGAAAAAAAAGGCCTTTTATCAGCTCAGAAGAAGAATTAACACCACCACTCTAATGTAGAGGAAGGGGGGAAAATAGCACACCAGAAGTCATTGTTTACAAAGGATGTATGGAAAAAACCCAAGTTTGTTTTTTTCTGATTTTCTCTGCTGGCATTGCACTAAAAGATAAAAATAAAAATATTTCACAGCTGAAGAGGTTTAGAGCTGTCAGGTTGTCCCTGCACATGCCTTATATGTCTGTCTAGATGGTGAAGGGTGACTGAAATCATGCTTGCAAGGACACTGTCCAGGCTTACATGCCTATGTGCTGCTGAATTATAATTAATGCTAACAAATGCCAAGCAAAGCTGGTAAAGCATCCTTAAGGAGTCTGAGCAGCCAAGATTTCCTGCCACGTGCATGGGCTGCATCATCAAAAATTTATTCAAATCATTAGCAAGCAGGTGTTATTGGAGGTAGCATCCTCACCTGCGGTGAAGCACAAAGACCTGTGTGTGTGTCCAGCACTGACAGGTGTAGTCAGCAAGGTTTGGAAAACCAGGGGTGTCCTCAAAGCTTCTTGGCCTTTTCCAAAGCCTTAATTCAAACTGTTGTTTTTCAAAGGAATTTTTATTTCAGACACAGGTACTCCTAGCTGAAGTACGAGGCTGGGCTAGGCAAATTATAAAGATTAATGTCTAAAGGAGGATTCTTACCCTCAATCTCAAAAGTTGCGGGAAATCTGGAAATAAAGAAGTGAAGCAGAGGAGCCCCCACTACCAAGATGCATGTTTTGTTCTTGTTTTGCTGAATCAAATGCAAAAGTTGGAAATACTTTAAATTTATAACTCAAGCTGCCCCAAGGACTGAGGGAACTGGGTGCGGCAGTGCCCTGCTCCAGCTCCCGCGGGGCTGCGCGAGCCCCTGTGCTGGCTCCTCGGCAGGTCTGCAGCATGCGGACAGGGGCAAGACACACGGCAGGGCTGTTTCCTTTGCCAGCAGCTCATGTTTGGGTCGGTTTTGCAGTGGTGGTTCCTCTCTGCTCCGTGTGCATCCGGACTTTGACACGCTTCCCAGGCTAAGGAGTGTGAGACAGCCAGCACCGGGCAAAATATTTCATCTGTCTTTGCTCCTCCTCACTCCCCTCTGCCCACTCATGGCCCAGACATTCGTGTTTCCCTTACCCTTGACCCCCTATTGCATTCAGCATCCTCCGATATCTTGCAGAAGCCACTTTTTAACACTTGGCTCCCTCATTCAGTCTGGCCCTATATTCCCTGGAGGAATTCCCATGTCTCAGATTGATGGGATGTATCTGAGCTCCCTGGTGCCTGCAGGCTTTGAACGACTATGTGGATTACAGTGGCATGTTGTGTATCCTGGGCTCAGCTTTCTGACAGCCTGACCTTGGTATGCTGTTGCTCTCCTTGATGGAGGTTGTGTCCTTCCAGGCTGGGCTGCCCCCGGAGTGCTGGGGAGATGTAACAGTGCCAGGCACCTCAGAGAGCCTTTGCCTTTCTAAAAGCAAAAGTCGTGGCACATCCTGAGAGGTGTAACCTGGGGAAGGAGCCCTTCCTGTAGGAATGGAGGACAGTAGGAGCCACTTGTGCTGCAACTTCTTTGAGGGACTGGGGTAGCCCTACTAAGAAGGAATATTTTGGGGTTGATATTTACATTTCCAGGGAAAACAAAAAAAGTCCACGTGTCGCCTCTATTCCCTCATCTGCTGTCTCAGCACCTCTGCCTTGCTCCGTGGTCAAATCTGCTTTGCCAAGTGACAGTAATTTCCCCCACATGGAAAGAAACTGTATTAAGACTGAACTAAGCATTTTACTCTGAGGATTCTCAGCTTCCCAAATGTATCCTCCTAATACACAAAAGATGCTGATGACCTCATTTCTCATGTTTTTGTACCGCACTGAGAACTAAGGGTTTTGCTTCCTCCTGCCACTGACCATCTATCAATGATGTCACTTCATCTGTACTAATTATGCATTTAAAATTATAGGGTGTACGCCCTTGCTTGTAACTCCCTTATGGAAAAGTGGGGTCAGAGTCTGAAGCTCCCCAGCCTGTCTCCATAAAACCTACCACCTTTTTTTTTGTTGCAGATAAATGATACAGTTTTCCTGTTCAACAGCCGTGGGATATTCTTCGTGGTGCTAGATGCATGTTCAGGAGCAGTCGTGAGTAGGTGGCACTTTGACACAGTTACTGGTGAAAACGCTGCCAGCGCAATAACTGATTATATTCAAACATTTATAAAAGAGAGGTAAGCAAACTGCTGAGAACCCAGTTCATGTAGCAACCCGTGGCTGATAGACAAAGAAGGGAAAATGACCTACTTTCATAATCAAACCTGTGCTCTGAAGAAATCTGGCACAGATTAAATACGTACAAATCCCAAATATCACCCAGATAATAAGAGAAGCAGTGTCTCTCTCCCAGGATTGCACAGATTAGAGCAGACAGAGACAGGTTTTCTGGAAAACTGGAATTCTTTCTAAATTAACCATTCATTTTCCAGCATGGGGTAGATAAGGTCCTTGCAACAACATTTGCAATCCTGTGTACCTATCCCAGTGTCCAGCAATTTCCTGGCAGCTGATGATTCAGTTTTCCATTTCTGAAGCGAGTTGGTTTCTGTTTACTCTTACTGATTGTTTTTGCCTCTTGTGACAGATGAAAATTATAGGTGTGCCAGATTTTCCAATAGGACTTTTCTTGGGTGAGCCAATGAATAGACCTGCCTGCCTGTTGGCTCTGTTACCTTGCATGTGTCCTGGCAGTGGTCTGGATCATCTCTGTTTGTGTCTGTCCCACATTCCTTGTGGTTTTGTGTGTCGCCACATAAACATGGAACAACAGAGATTTATAGATAAATTCTTAGCTCCTGGCAGAAACAAGTCAAATAACCAGAAAACAGACTTTCAGTCCAAGATATTTCTGAGCAGTTCATGACCAAAGTCCTAAGTTACTACATCTGTATTTATGCACATGAGTACGTACATGTATCAAACGTGCATAAAGTGACATATATCGATATGATGTGTGTACATTTGGTTTGATTTTCTGGTAGAATGTCTATTTTGCAAGTCTAGGCATTCAGCTAAATGCAACCACTTGTGCCTGTAATTCATTGCAGGTACAATTCACTGGGGGCTGAAAGCCCATCTATGAGGACCAAAGCCTGAAGCTTGATTGAAAATCAGACCCCAGATATAGATGGTTTCAGAGTCTCAGGACTGCACAGCAACTGAAATTCTTCTGTGGCTGTGTGTCCCTCTCCTATAAGGGATGCGCTTGCAAACAGTCCTTTGTGCTTGTTTTGATTCCGTGTGAAGCACAGGTTTAATTTAGGAACATTTAAACGGAGGCTTAAACTTAGGAAAGCTTATGTGTGATTGAAATCAAAGGGATTTAAGCATGTTCTTAAAGTTAAGCAAGCTCTTAAGTACTTTTCTGAATTGGAGCTTAAAGGTCTTGCAGATTCTTAATGAAGTCATATTTTGCAATCATGCAGTAATTACTGTCCTTCTTTTCAGATCACTTGTTCTCGTGTGCTCTAGAGATATTGCAGATGTGGTGGGGAGCTCTGAAATGTCTGTTTTTACCAGGTTAGGTTCAGCAAAGCCTATTGTCTTCCACAAGGAAGGTAAATGTATTTATTCTACCATGTTTCTTTTGCTTAAGAATTACTGGTCTGTTTCCCTACCAAAAATGTACACATACTTACATAGTGCTTATCAATGTATTTCCTACCACAGTATGCCAGCGTAACCTAGTAAAAACCTCTTGGCTTAGGAATGGTGAGAAGTAGGAGAGTTATTTTGGGGCTTCACCAGTGAGAAGCTGCATGCTGCAAATTTTTCATCCTAAAGGGAGCTTGTTTTTCTAACAGCAGCAAAAAAATCCTTTGATAAAGATTCCATCTCTAAAATTCAACTGCTTTGCAAGGAAAAACAATCACAAACTGAAAGGTTGATGAAAAAGAAAATAGCCTGAAGTGAAATAGGATGTGAAATATTTTTTTGGATGGAATGAAGGTGAAATCACCAGTTTTGGAAAGTTCTTATTACAGTTTTACCTTGGATTGCTGCAAGAAATCCATTGGTATCATTGGTCTAGGAAATCCTTGCTGGGTTTCCTACTGGAAAACTGTGGGCTATTGAGTCCAGGTTTGGATGAATAATTTGAGTGATAAGGAACTCAAGAAAACAACCAGCCAGCTTGATTCAGATTTCATTTGTAGTCTCTCAAGCAGAGATCAGATAGAGAATTGGCTGTATTTCCTGCTTCTTTTTTTCTTGGGGGTTTGGGGATTTTTTTTTCCCTACTGCTTTACTGAAATTTATATCAATTTCCGGTTCAAGTTTCAAAGCTCATTGCTGTGACCATTCCAGGGGAGGACAGCATAGTCTTTACAGCAGAGACAGTGATTTCACTTTGGTGCCTGTTTGATTCCTGAGAAGCAGGTTTTTCTTTCATCCTTTTAAAAGCAAAAGTTTGAGGTTTTCGGTTTTGTTTTTGTCCTGAAACTTCATTGCTTCATTCTTTCATGAAAGCCCTGAATACTTTTGAAAGGCATTTTTTGATTATAAAGCAATCTTTTTTGTTTGTTTTGTGAAACTTTTTTTCCCTGAACCACCTGTGTCGCTCGCTTGGGCGCAGCACTTCCAGGTCATTTTGGGAGCTCGGTTCAGCCTCCAGCCCCAGCTGCTCCTGGGGCACATAAGGCAGCAATCAGGGCCACCACTGCCCCGGGGACACGCTGGATGGTGGCCATCTCCTTGCCTTGCCACTTCGGTGGGATGCTGGTGTCTGGTAGTGGGACTAAGCCGCTGCTGGCCGATCACGTGCCACCCCTGTTTTGCTTGGGCAAGGTGTTCACCCACGAGTCCGCCCTGATTTCCAGTCTGGGTAATTATGTTCTGCTTCATGAGCTTTCTCCCGCTGATTCAGGTATGCACACTATTTGACTTCACAGCTCCAAAAGTGATTGCACACAGGACTGGTCCACGCTGGGGGGCTGTGTTTCAGGGCAAGCTGGAGCATTTCTCTCAAGGGCATATTGCTTCTGCCAGGGATAATGCAAAAAAAACCCAATCCCCCTTGACCCCAGCGGGATCAGGAGTTAGGGTCTTGTTGCCTGGTGTTGCAAAACCTTATTTAAATTAAAAGTGTTTACAGGAATAGTCTCGATCCAAGCAGCTGCAAATAGCCTTGGGAGTCTTTGCAATGAAAAGCATAATATAAATACAAGACATTATTATTAAAATCGAAGAATACATAATGCCTTTGTACTTTGTGACAGCAGAGGACCAGAGCAGAGTTGACATGGGGAATAGTTTAGGCATAACAGGAAGAAACTGATGTAAACTAATAAAAGAAGGATTCAAAGTGCCTAACCATTTTCATGTAGTCAAATATGAGAAAGTACTAATGCTTAAAAATAAAGAGTAAAACAATATTCCTGCTAACTGACATCTGGGAACGTAGCTTATTGAAATACCTGCAGATCTGGAATGCAGTGAGGTTATGGCTTCAGCAAGGCTCATTCTCTCTTTCATCACCCTTTTTCTCTCCTAAATCTTCTGTTATTTTAATCCAAGGAAGAAAAGAAGGGCTAAGAAGTTTCCGTGCTCTGTGGAGGGAGTCCGTGCTATGCTGCTACTAAGTGAACCGACCCATCCAGAGGGTCACTCTCTTTGTGTCTGTTTTTCAGGGAGTTTCGCCATGCTTGGCTATAAAGGACAAACCAAACCCTCCTGGATAAAAGTCCTTAATCATGCTGGTTATCAGAAGGCTGCTTCTCTACAGCATTATGTTCCCTTGAAGCTGAAAGAATATCAATGTCCAGATAATGCTGACGAGTTGCTAAAATTCGCTTTTTCTCAGAACCACCCGGAGCACATCTCTGCAGAGCCCGCAGCACCCTGGGATTAGCATGGCTGGGGCAGCACCAGCTGGGCAAAGCCCACTGCTGTCACCAAAACCTGCTCTTGTTTTTACGGGATTGTACCAAACCGATGGCGTTCACTTGTATATTTTATAACTAATAAATACATTCTCATCTTACCCACTGTGGTAGAGCTTTATGTGTCAAGCAGTGCCTCGCAGGGCAGAATAGGAAAAGCCTGTGGGCTGCCCTTCCCAAGGAGAAGTGTTTGAACATATTCATGATTTGGTATCAAAAGGTAAGTTTCAAAAGCAAAAAACTGGTCTCCGGTATCACAGGGACTGGAAATGAAATTTGGCGTGGAATCTTTAGCAAGATCCAGGGAAACAGATGAACTTCAGCAGAGGTAGGGGATGCTCCCTTCAGTCCTGTTTTCCCTCCATTAATGTCTGCTTTTAAAAAGCCTAAGCGTCCATCTGCCGTGGTATCTTAGGTGAACTCAGTAACATCTGCTTGCATCAATGGGTAAGCATGCAGTGATCTTACAATAATATCTTCTAATTGAACTGAATACACAGGGTGCAACAAGGAGTTATAAATGTGTTTCTGTCTCTAGCTAATGACTGGTGAAATGATGTTTGTCCAACTAATGTGATCATTTAATTAAAGACCTACAGGAATAAAACTGAGGATAAAGTATGTGCTGTGTTGGGTAAAGTCTTGCGTTCCTTTCAGACAATGCTCGTATTGACTTTCTGCTCCCATTGAGGACTGAAATACTGCCAGTATTAGTGGCTAATTCTCTTTGATTTTTTGTTAATGCTGCTGCTTTTTGAAGTAAAGACAAGAATAGAGCTTTTTATGCAAACAGAAACAACTGATGACCTCACTGACTACAGTTTAAGTACAAAGTTACCCTGAAATTATATACTCGTTTTGGTTTGAACATGATGTTACTTGGTGACAGCAGTGAAGGGGCAGGTGATTTCAGACTATCCATGTCTTTGTCACATGGGTTACTCAAGTAGGTGAAGGCTTTGTTACTAATGTCCTGTCGTTTCTTTGAAATTCTCAGAAATGGCCAAACAAGTTGCTACAGGGAAAGGTTAGTGTTTTGTTGGCCAGACTTTTGCTCCCTGGTGAGTTAGTCGCTTTGGCATCTGCACCCTGGACAGCTGATACTGTGCCTCTGAGTGGGGACTGAACTCCTCGGCTGGGACACTTGCCTCGGTCAGACACATACCACCCAGTGGTCCTTGGACGTGGGGTGACAAAACACCTGGAAGGTCTGCAGGCGGAGGAGAGACTGTGGCTCCATCCCCACACCAGGTAGGAGAGGTGGGAGTCAGGTTCAGCCAGGGGAGAGGTCCGGGCTTGCCAGAAAGTATGAAGAAATCACTGATGCTGCTCAGTAAAGGGAAAATAAAGAGTGATGCACAGGACATCATGGGCCTGAGCTGGCCCCCGCGGGGGGCGATGGAGACTGATGTCCTCGGTGGAGATGAAGAGTGGTACAAGAGCCTGAGTGGCTGGGACTGACCCGCCGAGGAGCTCCCTGAAGTCCTTTTGAACTCCTGTTAGTACCTAATTGTTATGATTTCTGAGGCTGTGCAGGGGAAGAAAAGCAAGATGTTTCTGGCTTGAGAGCGTAAGCCCAACATTGGAACAACTACTTACAGAGCAAGCCTTTAGCTTCTTGGAGATTTATTTGATAATCTGTGACAGGTCCAGACCTGGATCCCAATAAAACTTTGCAGAGCTCTAACCCCAGGCTGAGACTAAACAATTGGCAAAGGAAGAGCCTGGTGAAGGAAGGAGAGGAATGTGCCTAAACCTCTGAAAAATCTCTATTCCTCCTCCCGCCCTAGAAGGAGATCAAATGGCAAATGTCCTGGAGAGGAAGGCGTGGAGCCGTGGCGAGCCAGATGCAAACAGTAAAGTACCACAAAAGCAAAAAGAAAAATATTTACATCCTGATGCAGTTATTTGGGTAGTTAAAAGCAGCAGTTTGAAGAGGATTCAAGATGCTGTGATCCTCTTCAGGCACTGCACACACTTTTCTTACCTTGGGAGGGAAAAAAAGGCTTCAAAACCAGGGATGCTCTGCAGAGGGTACAATTCCTCCATGGACCCTTGGGACATTCAAGACTATGTTTCCAAAGGCTGCTGCTAACTTGGCATGCACCAGAAGTCTGTGTGTGTGAAGCTGCGGGGGTAAGTGTCGCGTGGGCGTTGCATTTGTGGTAAGCTGTCGTATTCCTCCCAGGGATTTCCTGAGCAGGAGGATCTCCACCCACATGCTGGAGTCCACGTGGACTGTGCGCATCCATGTGGACCTGCAGCTAATCCAGGCATGTTCAGTCCACCTGGTGCATTCGGGACATATGGCCATCCTGGTTACCCCCAGAGTATTTCTGCACTGGGAACACAGTAGCTCTGGTTACTAATATGCTGAGTTGCTGTCAGCAGGCAGAGCAAAGTCAGTGCACCCTGAACCTCCAAAAATGGGGTTCAGCTTCTCACCACTTTGATGCTTTGAAAAATTCACGTGGTGGATGTGGGTTTAATTCAGTGAAATGCTGAGCACTTTGAAAGCATGTGAAACCGGGAATCAGTCAGCCTTGGATGGGTGGAGTGATATGAATTGCAAATGATTTTGTTTTAGCTGAGCCAAAAACTGCTTCCTTTCGTTTTCAAGGTCTGTAAGACTCTAAAAAAGAAAAAAAAAAAACAAAAAAAAAGACAATTCTGAAAAAAAAGCACAGCTTTAAAATAAATTTTTTTCCCTTTTATTTCTGTCTCAAAATATTTTGCCAACATTACAGCAAATTTGCAAACACCTTAGCTTCCTTTAATTTATTAATTGTAAAAATTTCCTCTAACTCTTGCTCCTTGTTCAGAATCTGTTTTTATGAACATCAAGAATCAAGGAACTTGCAGTGATGTTTATATACGGAATACGTAAGCAGAACCTTCTTCCTTGTAGGGA